AAAACATGTATCATTTGGGATTTTTACAGCACCTGAAAAGACCCATGTGAACAACAGGACTAATTAAACTAGCTTTCTCAGCCTCTGGATGTGCAGCTTCCATTGACAACGTGGTTGTTAATGTGTACATAATAACTAGTAGCTGGTATGATGATTAACTGCAGTCGGTGTACTGCACACATTGCGAAAGAGGTAGGAAGACAAAAGCGCTGTCTCCCAGTGTGTGCTATGAGCACGGGGCAGCCAGGCTGGGCAGAGGGGAGGATGGTTGGCTAATACAGTCATGTCACGCTAAAACTTCTTGGGATAAAAGGGACAGTCTGTTCTGCAGACATTCCAACCTGTTTTTCTGTCCTGCTGCAAGTTTCCTAAATGCCTCTGTCCTGTTATGCCATGGGTAAGGGAGGGGTGAGGACACCAGGAGATGTCCCTCCAGGGTCTGCTGCCGACAGCAACAGCGGGCAGCCCTGGGATATGCTCACGGTGCTGCTTTTTGTTCAGCTGCTTCTGCAAAGCTGTCATGGCATGCATCCAGTTAATACTTTTACATCTTGAGATTTTCTCAGGTTTCATTCCTAGGTCTTCTGAGGCCATATAAACTTTTTCCAGCATCTTCCTGTGTTTGTCCCTTAGTACTGTGTTTGATGGAGAGAGGTCTCTTCCCACCCTTATAACTAGTTTTCTAGCTGCTTGTGATAACATTTCATATTTTCAGCCTCATGAAATAACTCTTTCAAAACCCTTTTCTATAGAGTAATTTCTTCTGCAGCAAGACTAAGCCTAGCTTACTGTAGACTTGATGGAACAGATTTGGTACCTCTGGAGAAAATGTCCTTTCCCATGCAAAGTATGAACTAGTGTTCAGCCTTTGGCCTCTCCGGAGCTGCTGCTGTAATGCACAATTTAGGCTTAAATGTGTGGCTGCTGAATTGGTGGTCTGGGTGGTAACCTGTCAGCTGAAGTCTTTCTGAAAACTGCCATAACTTTCATAAGCTAGAAATTAGTTTTAGAGTGTAATCTCTGATGTTGGAGATAAATCTCTTAAAGCATGTTGGGGTATTGATGTTGTGATTTATGCTAAAGTGTTAAATGGCTTTGTAAATGGGTTTCTGCAATCGATGCAGCAGATGGGCTTTGATTAACAACTGGGCTGTGGGGAGGTGTCACCCTTCGCCTTTGAAGGAGGTGAGAGATGACAATTTAGCCAAGCTGATTGTGGGATTTTTTCCCCAAGAAAGTCAAGACTCTTCTTATAAAAGTGAGTCACTTCCTATGGCTCTGAATATTGCATTTTTATTGTATTGTTTTCAACTGGTTTCATAATCTATTTACAGAACGATAAGGTTGTATATATAGAGGCTGGTCCAGATCTGTTCTAAAGCAGAACTAGAGCATGATGGGCTGTCGGTGTGGGTCACAAGCATTTTCCTGCACAAGCAGTTGCTGTGGGGCAAAGAAGCTGCAGGAGATAGGTGTGTGGCTGTGCTACCCTCCTGACCGGTATCAGATTTGAATGCCTGCCTGTGGCTCAGGTTGAACCAAAGAGCCCGTTGTTGTAGCACAGGCTCTGATGGTTTCACTGTACCAGTGCTGACTGATGAGTTTGCAGGTGCTCTGTTGTAGGCTTCAATCCTGCAGCTGCAGTTGTCCAAACTTGGGGTGCTTTGCAGAGCTCTAGCAGAATGCAGCTGGTGTGCTTTGAGGGTGAGCTCCAGACTTGGGAGCAGATTCTGGAGATACTTTGCGAAAACTGTACATGTGTCACTGCTTGATAACCTCCTGTGTCGGGAACGCTTTTGCCTTGGTTACAGCATGCTCCTGGGAGCTTGTTCCTTTGATTAACCAGCCCTCTTTGTTCCCAGATCTTAACAGGACTGTGTACTAAAATCCATGCTGTTCAAACAAAGGTGATTTGCTAGGCAATCAAACTCAGACTCTTATTTCACTGGTATTCAGGTTTTATCACCTGAGGTTTTTTATCAGTAATGACTTAATTTATATTTTCTTTCTCTGTTGATAATCAAGAAAATCTGCATTGATTAGCTCATGTATGTAGGGTTAGTGTGTCTGTGCTTTCAGATGAGTTAATATAGAGCCAGATCTTGGATAAAGTACATGGAGTCTGTCTGCTGAGAATCCAGGCGAATACAGCCTTTGCCAACGGGAGGCTCCATGTTCCAATTCTTCAAAAGCACAAGAGGCTCTTAAAACACTTGAATATGTTTGAGTCTAAGTTAAATTTTTTAGGCAGGACACCCCCCACCCCCCCTTTTTTTTACTTGGCTGGGAAAATTCTGTTTCTGTTGCAGTTTTATTTTTGTACCCTCTGGGACTCCAACTGAGGATTTAGTGCAAAAATATCTAAATCAGCGTTGAGGTATTTGTATAAGAGACAGCCTTTGGAAGTGTTGAGCTACAGAGGGGCCTTGCTGTCTGCTGTGGGACTATTCATATGTATGGTGCTATTCATATTAAAACATGTGCCTAAATGCTTTGTCAAAGTAGAGCCTAATCCGAATACTTCTTTTGATAAACAGATATGTCCTTCCAATTGGGATTCAAATGATCGATGAACAAAAGATGTCTGAGGGCAATTCCCAGGTCATTTCCTGCAAAGAGCTGCAAGCCCTTGTTTGCCATGCATTTTAGAAGAGGCTGAGTCCTGTGATGCTGATGCATGACAGTATCTCTCATGACAGCTTAAAGCTAAAAAGGAATGTCTTGCTTGGTTGTATCCTGTGTAACGCAGAGCAGTGTTTTGACACATGGTTACTGAGCCCAGTAATTTGACTTTCTATTTGTATCTTGAGTTTTCTTTGTGGTGACTCAAATCCTTATGTCTTCTAGGCAGTCTGCAGGCCACTCGGGCTTTGATGGTGGCTTCAATACTCCTGGGCCTTGTTGCAGTGTTTGTTGCTGTGACTGGCATGAAATGCATGAAGTGCATGGAAGATGACCAGGTGAAGAAGATGCGGATGGCTGTCTTTGGCGGGGTGATCTTCATCATTGCAGGTTGGTAACATACAGATGCATTAATAGGAAATGGCATATTTAATAAATGGTATTTATCCTGCATAGGATGTGAGGGGATGGGGAGGGCTTGCCGTCATGGCTCCAAGAGCATTTTGGGCTGGGAATTCCCTAGTGGACTTTGGCACAGTAGCTGCTGGCTGTCTGAGGCATCAAATGGGTCTCTCGGCACTGGCATTATGCTTTCTGTATGGACTGCATGTGTTCCATCTCTATTAGCAGAGCTGAGCTTGACCTGTATCCCCTGCTTCAGTGAAAGGCTGTCAGCAGTCCTGCTTTTGGTGCAATGTAACTGGGTGACCTCAAATCCTTCCTTAATTTCTCTCCCAGCCAGTACTAAGAGCTCAGATCCTCCCAGGGTAGCAGCAGCTCAGCTTTACTCCAGATGCTGGTCATGCTGGACATAATTTTTGTGGTGATTTTGTTTATTTTGGCTTTCTTAACAAGGCATGACATTGTGTTCCCTTCATGTGCAGGTTTGGCAGCACTGGTGGCCACGTCATGGTACGGCAACAGAGTGGCTCGGGCATTTTATGACCCTTTCACCCCTGTCAACACCAGGTACTGACCCATTTGATATAACACTATAGTATAGCATGGCAAATGCTCACAGGGCTTAGTTTTGAGTAGCAGAGGCTCAAAGCAAAGAAGGGAATTTCCTGAGCTACCTGGCTTGGCTTCATACTCTGCAGAAGTGTTAGGACCAGACCTCATCATCCATGTGGCTCTTAAAGCCATGACTTAAGGCAGCATCACTGCCAGAGACCTAATTGCTGTGACTTCTGCCTTTTTCCTGCACTAAATGCTTAAAGCCTGGTTTGCACGGAGCTTTGGCCCTGCTGCAGCTGTGCAGGGGGAGCTGGCAGACTAGACTAACCCAGTGTGCAAAGCTCCAGGCTTTTGAGGATCAGCGGAGTCTTGGGCTGCTCCAAACTGCTGTCTTGCAGGAAAGCCATTTCCATCCTGATTTTAGCTCCTTTCTGCTTTGTGTGGACATGCTAACACTGTAATCCAGAGAATACTTGCAGTATTCACTTTCTTCCTTGTTTTTTTCCCCCAGATTTGAGTTTGGATCAGCTCTCTTCATTGGCTGGGCAGCTGCTTCTCTGGCCATCCTTGGGGGAGCCTTCCTCTGCTGCTCCTGTCCACGGAGAGAAACTTCATATCCACCCAGCCGAGGCTATCCAAAAAATGCCCCCTCCACAGGGAAGGATTATGTATAATGTAACAAAGAAGAGGAACCACCAGCACTGGTAGTGAAAGCATTTTGGAGAGGACACTACAATGCCACTGTCCTGAGCAGAGTTCAGACTCTAGGTTCTGCCTTCCTCTTCTCCCAAAAATGTGTATATTTTTGTAATCTCTTTGCTACTGGACATAACTTTCCTTTCTCTCCCAGCCCATGAAGGAAGGCTAGCCTAGGTTCATAGGTATTGCCACTGGAAAGATGAAACCTCCAAGCTTGGGTTAAGTTTAGTATTTGGGAGTAAAAGGGAAAAATGATACTGTTTTTTTAGATGGCTGTTGGTGCTTTTTTTTAGTTGTTTTTTTTAAAAAAAAAAAAATAGATGGTAATAATTCAGTCCCATATCCCATTAAGTTAGAGCCCAGTGTGGTGTGTGTAGACATTAAAGGAACATATATTATATACAAAGTGATGAAACCAATAGCTTAAGGGGAAACATAATCTTAGGGAAAAGACTTTACATGTAGGAATGTTTGAAGAGATCTAAAATGCTCTTGTACTGTCGTCTTGGCATTGTCTTCAGCACTCTCCTTTCTGCGCAGATTGGCGTGGCAAAGGGTCAGACACAATTAAATTGCTGTTACTTAAGTTGAGATCTGTACCTGTCCATGCACATGCTGTTGGCCCACAGAAGACGCAGTGTAAGGTGGCTTGGCTTAGCTGTAGGTCATTGCTCTTTTGAGAAGATCTTGTAAACTGATTGTGTCTGAACCAAAGGCTGCAGAGTCTGAATGACAGAGGTTGGGAAACTCCCAAAGCAAAGCAGCTGCAGGTTTCCTAGGTGCCAGGGAAGAGCTACAGGAAAAAAAAAACCAAACCTATTGCCTTCTGTTTTCACTGGGTGTCTCTGGTGGGGCTGTTGCTGCTGTTCCTTAGACACCAAGTGCTGCCAGCGATTGTTTCTCCATGTTCCCACCCTAGCACCTAACTGAGCTTGAAGCTTTATCCCCTTGTGTGTCTTACAGGCCACTTTTTAACAAACTGTCCTGTTTCCTTGGAGTCTTTCTCATTTGGCCTTAGTTACTGATCTCTATTTGTCTTATGCAGCTAAATGTCTTAAACCAAACTGAATGCACTGCTACTCCCTCATGTTTCCCCAAGGATACCTCACATGCTGCCATTTGATCCTGTTGTCTTGTAAACACTTTCAGTGATGATATGAAGGCAAATTCCAAGGAAACTGACCCAAAGGTTATGGCGTTTTCTTTTAATCCAAGCTCACCAAAGAGGAAGAAACTAGCATTTTGAAGATAAAACCATCCTTGCATATTAAGTCATAGCAAAAAAAAATGCAGCTTATCAAAGGTTCCCAACCCTTCCCCTGAAACACCTGGTCGGTCACTTGGTGTTTGACTAACACTGGTGAGGCTCTCTGGAGTTGAGTCTCTTCATTCCTAGAAGGATGGTACCAGTTCTTCAAAGCTCAACCTTGCTTTTTCTGCAGAAGGAACCTGGTTGCTTCTGACCAGGCTTTATAATTGTGTCTGTGTGAGGCATCAGATCTCTTGATTTCCTTCTGTAGACAGGGAGAGCCTCTGGAGCTGAGCGATGTATGACCATGGTGTTGGTGGTTTGTGTAAGCCCCATACCACTGTTTGACCCGACACTCTGCAACATAAATTAAAGTTACTAAAAGAAACCAACCAGAGCATTTGCTTCAGGCTTGAGCTGATGTTGGCCTGTACTTGGGGCTGGGTCATGTGGCTTCCACTTCTCCATGGGGAATTGCCCGTGTGCAGCAGCTGCCTCATGAGACCTTGTCTTAGCAGGTGGCAGCTCAGGTCAACGTTCAAGAGCTGTTGAAGTCCATGCTTTTGTATTTGCATTAACCCTGAGCCAGGGAGCAGATGCTTGTATTGGGAACTTGTATAAAGTGTTTAAACAATTTCAATAAATGGACTTTTTTAAGGAAAATCAGACTGTTCCTTCACTTCTTGTTTTTGAGCAGAACTTGGACAGTGTGCATGGAAGAGAAGAGGGGGGCTTGGGCTTCTGTGAGCCTGCTTGCCAGGATGGAGCTTTGTTTAGCTGTGTGTATCTACAGCAGATGTAGGTGGGGACAGATCTTCTGCAGTGAGTCAGGCTGTTGCGGCCTCTGGCAGAAACTCCCCCAGTAATCTGCTACGATTGCAGCCCAGGAACCAGAAGGTCTGCTCCTCGGCAGGACAGGCTGCACCCTGGGTGGAGCAGGAAGGGGCAGGGGGAAGGCAGATGGCTCCCTCACAGGGGAGTGGGAACTGCAGGAATGGGGAAGGGATGGGGTGTGGAGCCAAAGCGCTCCCAGGAGAGGTGCTCTGTATTTCAGCAGTGTTTTTGCTCTGTAGCTTTATCTGGGGTAGGGTATGCGCAGGCTGTGGCTATCTGCACAAGATGCTCTGCCTCCAGACCTTCTGATCTGTATGTGTCTTATAAACCTTTATGTGCAATTCCTTGACTTTTGTGGGTTGACAGAATCATGGAGAGATGGGCCATGGGAGGATCCATCTCACTCTAAAGCCCCCTTTGGGAGGGTACTGTGCTTCTCCCAGCTGTGACAAGGAGCACCACCAGTCAGCTGTACCCCATGGTTCCAGCTGGGGATGGTCTCTTCTAACCTGCACTGATACCTCCCCAGGGTGGCAAGGCTCTATCCCCCTTGCTTCTACCTGGCCTGGAAACCTTTTTCCATTCACCAGGGCTCTTGTGTTCATCCCTTTCATGATTTTCAAGTACATGGGATGAGAGGCAAACTTTATTTAAAGCATTTTCTTAAGCTTAGTCAAGGAGCTGCCTCCTCTATTCCTTTGCTCTCCAAGGGATGTTTGCTTTTGTAATTACAAACAAAAAGAATCGTGCTAATTAGGCCTTGTAAAGCTGGCAGAGCAAAACAGCCAGGCATGTGGCTGGCTGAGTGAGCTTGCAGTGCCTGGAGCAGACTGGTTGCCTGGCATAGTTTGGGGTCTGTGGTCATTCTTATTCCAACCTGTCAATTAGTAAAGGATTTCCATTGAGATTAATTTTTTCCCATGTTTTCACGTTCACTCCCTCTCCAAGGACTTTTGCAAGTTCCACTCTTGAGTTTCCTGGGCAGAAGAATAAGGAAGGAAAGCAATCCCACCTATCAAATGGGCAGTAGGACTTAGCTGCTGGCAAAGATGGGCCACTGTGGGGTACGTAGGTCTGTGTGTGAGACCAGTACAGAGGAAAGAGCTACAGGCTAGCTCGTTTGCTTGCTATACCTTTAACAAGACAAAGGCACAGCCAGACTTGCATTTGGATATGGTTTGTGGATTGCCAGCAGGCTGGCGGGAAAGCCAAGGATGAAGTTAGGGAATAAACATAATTTCATGTGGCTTGTGATCCTAATTCCTGTTCAGTGGTGACAAGGGGCAGTATCTCTTGGAGGGCTGATATCTCAAGAGATGATCCTGACCCTGCCTGGGAGGGAGCTTTCCTTTCTAACCGTTTTTCCCTGCCTTTCATGCATGATCATGCAATTCCACTTGGCTGTGTTTTCTACAGCCCTTTGGCCATCTCTGCTGTAGGTTGCATAGAAAAGGAGTAGCATGGTTTGAAAGTTGGGGGAGAGTTTCCCACTGGATTTCAATTCTTGCATGTGACTGGCATT